GGCTCCCGGAATTTTCCTGCTCATCCCTCCCCCCTCTCCTCATTCCAAAGGGGCTCCCGGGGTGTCCCGGAGTAACCCGATCCCACCGCGGCCACTTCCCGGTGCCCAGCAGAGCCTCGGCAGGGAAAAGAAAAAAAACGCATCCAAGGAAAACATCTGGCCCCTCCCCCCACCCCCTTCTCCAAATCGAGGGAGTGTTTTAATTGTTTGAGTGGATTTTGAGTTCCCAAACAAATCCTAAAGGCAATATTTTCCTTTTAAAACACCCCCCACCCCCCCTTCGTGACCATCCGAAGTTTTTTTCAGCATCCCAGGAATGTTTGGAGTCCTCCCGGGAAGGGGTCGCGTCACCCTGATGTCATCGACATCTAAAAAATTGCTGTAATTAATCCGATTAATCGTCCTCGAGCCCCGGCCGGCTCAGAGAATCCCAAACCCCTTGGCGGAGGAGCCTCATCCCACAATTCCCACTCGCGGGATGGTGGGGGGGGGAGCGGCTCCACCCACAGAGACCTTAAAAATGCAGGAATTCCATCCCATCACCCTCCCCCAGGCTCCTGGATCGGCGCCAGCTCGTGCTGGGAGCATCCAAGGATCCCTTAAAACAAAGGGATGGGGAAAGGGATCCCGGCCCTCTCACCGAGAGGGTTTGGCTTTTCCTCCAGTGAGGAATTCCCCCCCCCCCCCCCAAAAAAAATAAATCTCAAAGGACCCGGAAAATTCCCTCTCTGCCCCTTTTCTCCTTCCCCATCTCGGGCTGTTTGGGTCACCCTGATTCCAGGGATTGTTGGGAACACCCTTAAATTGGGTTCTTCCCTCCAGTCCCTCTCCAGCCCCTTCTCCATGTTCTCCATCCCCTTTTCCATGTTCTCCAGCCCCTTCTCCATGTTCTCCATCCCTATTTCCATCTTCTCCATCCCTATTTCCATGTTCCCCAGCTCTCTCTCCATGTTCTCCATCCCTATTTCCATGTTCTCCATCCCCTTTTCCATGTTCTCCATCCCCATCTCCATCTTCTCCAGACCCTTCTCCATGTTCTCCATCCTTTTTTCCATGTTCTCCATCCCTATTTCCATCTTCTCCATCCCTATTTCCATCTTCTCGATTCCTATTTCCACCTTCTCCATCCCTATTTCCACGTTCTCCATCCCTATTTCCATGTTTTCCATCCCCATCTCCATGTTCTCCATCCCTGTTTCCATGTTCTCCATCCCTATTTCCATCTTCTCCATCCTTTTTTCCATGTTCTCCATCCCTATTTCCATCTTCTCCATCCTTTTTTCCATGTTCTCCATCCCCTTCTCCATCTTCTCCATCCCCTTCTCCATGTTCTCCATCCCTATTTCCATCTTCTCCATCCCTATTTCCATGTTCTCCATCCCTATTTCCATCTTCTCCATCCCTATTTCCATGTTCTCCACCCCTATTTCCATCTTCTTCATCCTTTTTTCCATGGTTTCCATCCCTATTTCCATCTTCTCCATCCCCTTCTCCATGTTCTCCATCCCTATTTCCATCTTCTCAATTCCTATTTCCATCTTCTCCATCCCCTTTTCCATGTTTTCCATCCCCATCTCCATGTTCTCCATCCCTATTTCCATGTTCTCCATCCCTATTTCCATGTTCTCCATCCTTTTTTCCATGTTCTCCATCTCTATTTCCATCTTCTCAATTCCTATTTCCATGTTCTCCATCCCCTTTTCCATGTTCTCCAGCCCCTTCTCCATGTTCTCCATCCTTATTTCCATGTTCTCCATCCCTATTTCCATGTTCTCCATCCCTATTTCCATGTTCTCCATCCTTTTTTCCAT